TTGTTAGAAAATTTCCATCGATTTGTTTTTCGCCTTAGGATTGAAAAATCCTATGAAATGTGTAATATCTTCAACATGGATAAGACGCTAGTATGGTTTGATATGGCTGGTAATTTCACTGTTAATCAAACAGGTAAAAAAACAGTTCATATTCGTAAAACAGGCAATGACAAAAATCGTTTTACCATTGTCCTCACTTGTGTTGCTGGTAAGAGTTATTGTATCTATAAGTTTTTCAAAAAAATCAATTTTTTTTTAATTTTTTTAACATTTTTTTTATATAAATAGAAGTAAACTGTCACCAATATGTATATTTAAAGGAAAAAGGTTGAATCGTGATGAACAAATTCCTACTGGTGTAAAAGTTTGATTCTAAGATAATGGATAGATGGATACAAATCTAATGATAAAATATATCGATTATTTTAATAATAATTGATCTATAGCACCAACAATATTTATTTATGATTCCTTTCGAGATCACTTAGAAAAATCTGTAAAAGAAAAATTTTATAATGGTAATATTGATTTAGCAGTTATCCCTGGTGGCTTAATAAGTATATGCCAACCGCTTGATGTTGCCATTAATAAACTATTTAAGGATAACTTCCGTAAAGAATGGCATTTATGGATGGCGGCTGGTGATGCTAGGGTGACTTCTGCAGGAAATCTTAAGCGCGCTAAATATAGTGATGTTTGTAATTGAATAAAATGTTCTTGGGAAGGTATATCTAAGGAAATCATTATTAATTCTTTTGTAAATTGTTCTATAATAGATTCTTTAGATAATTTATATAACAATCATGAAGAATTAGAAATTTCTGATATTGATGATAGTAGTTATGATAATATTCATAATAATGATTAATTAGGCGGGTTTTTATATAATTTTGTAATAGTTAATAATAATTTTCAGTTAATTTTGTATTAATTCAGCTTTATTTTCAAATAAATTTTATATTACAATAATGGAATAATAAATTTTTTTTTTATTTTTACATTTTTTTTCGAGGGATGCTTATTTTCAGGTAATATTAAAAAATAGAGGTGCTTATTTTTGGGTGGTGCTTATTTTCAGGACTATATGGTATTTATAATTGACTATATTTTATTATAGTCTAAAGATATAATTTGTAAACAAATATGTTGAATTACTTTATATCAAAAATATCTTTATTTAATACAATAAAAATAATAAACATATATTAAATAGTAATAATTTAGTATAATAGAATAATCCTATCTTTAATAGATACTAATTTAATTTTTTTCATTTTAGCTAATACTGTTTTATAATTTTTGATTAAAATTAGAATATAATAATTTAATATTTAAACTGAAATCTTTTTGATTTCCCTATCAGTTTCACAATAATTTTAAAGTATTACTATAAAACTACTAAAATATTAAGATATATCTTACAAATCATATACTTTAAAGATCATCTAAAATTATATTATAATACTACTATTATCTTATAATGCTAATGACTGAAAATTAGTATTAATATAAGATTAATAAAGGATTTAGCTCTAATCAATACTTTAAGAAGAGTTCTAAAAAGTTTACAAATAATTATTATTTCAAATAATGTATATTTAAAATAAACTTTAAGGATTTTATTATAGAATAAAGAATTCAGTATAATTATATTTATTAATATATAACTGTTATTAGTATTTATTTATCTTATTAATGATAAAAATTAATTGAATTCTAATTGTTTACAAAATTGTTTTGTTACAATTGTCTGCTTTGATTAAGTTCTAAAGCTATCTTATTTATACTAAATTCACTAATATAAATAAATAAAATACTAATTAATTACAAATAATAACTGATTAATAATATAAAATAATTAGTAATATAAAAGAAATTTCTGATGACTTCTGAATTTTTATTTAATTTATTTCTTTTATCTTAACTATTTTCATTATTTAATATAACATAGTTAATATACTTTCTGATCACATGTATCATGTTGTATCAGCTAATCTTTTGAATTAATATCTTTCTATTATACTACTAAAAATTAACTGTAATTTACTACGTTATCTAATAGTAATAATATGTACTTGAAAGATTAAAACATTCTTGAAGCATAATTCTCTAATAAATTCATTTATATTAGAAGTTTTTAATTAAATTTTATAATATTGGAAGCATAAAATGTATATAAATGTCTAATAGGATATTTTTTTCAATGAAAAGTAAAATAAAAGACATCATTACAAAACCAAATTTCTTAGCAATAAAAAGGCATAAAAGGAGACTAACGTACAATTGATTATTTGAAAATCAAATGATTACAAATGTTTAATAATAAGCAAATATCTTATTAATAATGTAATAATTACAGATTCCTATCAACACAAATAATATCAAAATGCATTTATAAATACATAACTTATAATAAAAATATTTATAATTAAGTTATTTATTTATGCTGTTACCTATCAAATAATCTAATCTAAACCATTTATAATTAAATAACATAATTATATTATTTAATTATAAATAGCTTAATCTTAAAAATTATAATTAAATAACAAAAATAATATAATAAAAGATTACTATATTGATTTTAATTAGAATAATAATAAGTAAGTTAAAATAATTTTTTAAACTCTAAAAATAATAATTCAATTTATTTTTTCAAATGATCTTTACATTTTAGATATAAATAATTTATATTATTATCTGATTTAAGTTACAATATTACCATATATATTTATATTTAATCACATTGTATTACAATTTTGCTTATACCAATTTTGTACAAAAATATTGATACATTCCCGTAATAGTAAAACTTTTTCAATAGATCATACGCGTAAGAACCTTTTTTTGTAAAAAAAATAAACAAAAAAAACCATAATTTTTTGAAGTTTGTTTTCTTGTTGTATAAGCATTGGTCTAATGGCAGCACTAGCATCGACTAGTTTTGAATTCAATATGGTAGTCACTGAAGTAACCGAAGATAATACTTCGGATATTAGTGAAGAGATTGATGAATTAGCAGGAGATCTTGAACCTACTACGGGAGTTGATACTATGAAGAATGACATACCAAATAATGATAAGTTAATTCCTTATAATGATGATAATAGCACGAATAACGAAACGGAAAAAAAAGGGAGAGAAGATGATATTTACGAAATCGAAAAAATAGTTGATCATCGAACGTATAGGGTATTTCTATCCATCCCTTTTTTTCAGAGTCATAATTAAAGAAATTATTAAGAAATAAATTCTTCACAATAACCAATTAACTTTTTTTTATTATTTTTTTTTGAGAATAGGGATCAATACAATATATGATCAAGTGGAAAGGTATGTGAATGGCTTAATTTATATAAATTTTGTAAAGTTCAATATATATTTCTCTTGAAAATTAATTTGATATAACTATTTCATATAGGATATTCTGACAAACATAATTCTTGGGTGTCAAAAGAGCACGTGTATATATTTTTTTTTATTAATTTATTTCCATGAAATTTATTTAGGTTTGTTTTAAAAAATATCTCGTCCTTTTTTTTTTTTTTTTATATAAAAATTTAATTTTTATAGATTTGCGGAACAAAAGGAAAGTGAATATTGGAATAATAAAGAAATCGAAGCAAAAGAAAAAATAAAGTCATTAGCAGATAGACATAATATTAATACTAAGAAATTGAAAAGACAAAAGTCCAATAGAATTAAAAAAAGTCAAGATAAACATACCAGACAAAAGAAAAGTTTTGTTGAGTTAAAATCATCGAAATCTAATGATAACTTGTTGAATAATAATGGTAATCACAATGATAAAGGTGGTCATATGAATGATCTTATATCTTCAACTACTCCATTACGATCTTCCGAAGTTACAGAAGTTGAAAAAGATAAAGCAAGTGATAATTTTGATGATGGATTATATGAAAAAGAAGATATATTTAAAGAAGAAGAAGAATATGATGATGATGATTATGATAACTTTACGCCTGCCGCTATAGCTGGAAGTTGGGAACCTTTTGTTACAGACGTTGCTACTATCCAACAAGATCCATATACGGGAACATTAATAGTTTTTCTGAATTGGTTTGCATTTAAGATTAAATTAAAGAATATTTTTTTTTTAAAAAATAAAAAATAACTAATTTTTCCTTATACATAATAGGAAGAATGGACACCGTACATCACACACTAATAAAGTAACTAATGTTAAATGTCCACAAAAAGTATGGCTTTAAATCTTTCTAAACGAGTATATGTTTTGAGATTCTGTTAAAACCCGTAAGTAATATTAATCTTACTTTTCTATTATAGATGTTAGAATTTTATCAACGGCACGTACAATTCGTTCATCAACAGCATTAGGATTGATTATCAGATAATTTAGCAAGCTAATTTAGGGGAATCGGGAACAAAGATGACGCATAAATAGTGAATATTCTCATGAAATAATTATATCATTATATGATGATATTAGTTAGTAATAATAAAACAGTTAATTAATTATTGTCAATTTCTTTTAATCAGCATTCGGTCTTTTTGAATATGAAAAATATAAAAATTCTTATATAAATGTTAGCAAAGATTTTTTGGTTTTTAAAAAAAAATTGTCACTTGAACAAAGTTGATATTGGTAGTGAACAATAAATATATATAATTAAATAATTTTAATAATAATAACAATTATAATAAACAATATGCAATTTAGTCATTTTAATTATTTTAAAATTGAAATAACTGACTTGACCTAAAATCATCACTTTTAATTTCAACTCTAATTCTTAATGCGTCATCATTTGATATGCTTTCAGGCTCTTCATAAATGGTGGGATAAATGATGGGAGATCGTTGTGCAGGAGGTGGAGGTGGTTGAACTCTCGTACAACCGATATACCAAGAAGTTCTCGTATCAACTACGATGGCTTCGCCTGTTTCAATGACATCTTCATCATTACACTTTATTATAGGACCTTTCTTTTGACACGCCGACCATGTTACTGTGATATTATTTTTCGATATTGAACTTTATTTGGGAAATAAGATAAAAATAGTTTAATAATTTATAAGATAGAAAGGAAAGATCAAGAGCGTTATCTAAACACTTACCAAATTAATAATGTACAAATAATTACCAATGCTGCTACGACAGAAGAAATTTCGATCATAACAGCATAGAATTTCTTTAATACTTGATTAGAATTAATTTGCATTCTAAAAAATGCAAGTAACGCTATTCCCAAGATATACCATCCCAATACAAATATTAACGTCTTATAAAATAATTTCATCTGAGATTTTCAAATTTAAAGGATTTTAAATATGGATTTGAACGCGAGGAAAAAAGAGGCTGAAGAAAAATGAATTTCGTACCATGTTGGCGAATTTCTTATATTGTCGTTTTTCGTGTTCGTGTACTAATGATGATATTGATTCTTCAGCAAAACGTACCAGCATTCGACTATTTCAAAAAGACAAAAAAAATGTTTTTTTTTTAGAAAGCACTGCGCCTAATCATTCACGTGATAATATTTCGTATGATTTTTTTACCTGTAAATAACCAATATGACGGCCAATATTCCAAATGCTATGGAAATTATCAAAAGATGAAAAGCCCAACAAATGTCTTCCAATTTCCGATTATGATTTTGTTTAGCGATAGCAGCAATCATTACAGGAATGAAAGTCATTACGAAAAAGATCGAAACAAACATCCAATAAATGAGTGACACTACATTTGGACGAAAACGATATATTTTGCTCTGTGAAATATGTTTTGATTCTTGATCTTGTGACGAACGATGATGAAAATTCATTCTTGGTATGGCATAGAATCTAGAAATGCAAAAAAAGGATGAAAGTTAAAGCACCTTTGAAAGTCACGTGTGAGATCACGTGTAACAGAAGTTTAACTTACAATCCTGAAGTATAAGTTGCAACAGCGATAATCGGAGGGAAAGCCATAAGTTCAAATAAAAAATGTCTTAAATAATCGTTTTTAAGATTTGATAATTGTATGGAAATAAATATTACTTTTGTAATACACCAAATGTCAGCCCAAAATAAAAAACCATCTATAGCCGAAAAACATTGACCATTCCATAAGATACGATTAAGCTTTATTCTTCTGTAAAGTAATAAAATGTTACTTAAAATGAATGTGATTATAACTAATATTAATTCTACTTCTATATTTTTACGAAAGAAAGGATAATCTTTACATCCTTCAATGTTTAACTCCCATCTATATAACATGAAAAAATTTCAATATGAAGAAATGTTTAAAGTAGGAAAGAAATGATTTTTTTTTGTTTTACTTACCGACAATAATTCTGTTCGTATGTTGCCATTATGTGTGATAAAATAAACAGTAAAAAAGAATAAAGGATGAAGGATAAAGTCTAAATTAATTAAAAGAAATAACAAAAGAAATGATGGAGAAAATCACCACAAAGAAAGAAAAAAAAATGTGAACACACAATTTATACACATAATTATACATATTTTATTTGTATCGTGCAATATAAATAAAAAAAAAAACTCCGATTTTGTGGCATCTATTTGACCCGGTATTTTTACCACAACGGAAATTACGATTAAGTTATAAACACGGTGCCTTTATTTACAAAAGTATCATTTAATGCGATAATAAACTTTAAAATCTTTCGCGCCGTTTATATCTTTCTTTTCTAAATTTTTTATTCTAAGATCAAGTTACAAGTCTGTTTACAAATAAAGTACTTTCCTAATGAAAGATTACAAACATCATTTCTTAATAAACAAAAACGATTTCTATTTTACGAGGAGAAAATTCATTCTTTTTTTGACACCAATTGTATCCTGAAATGGAAATATGCGCATAATTTCAGGGGGGTTTCGGGCGACATTTTACTCGACGTGAATTTTTTTTTCCAAGAACCAATGTTTTCTTTTAATTGTCGATAATAATGATTACTTAAACAAAATAAATTCCTTTTTTCTAAGATCGACTTCAATATTGACGATCAATATAACGTGAATGAAAATTCATACGTCTTAACCTTTTATAGGAAACAAATGTACATATGCAATTAGCCTTTTTGAGAAATTTCAGGAAATAACCTAGTTTAGAATAATGGTACTTTTGATAATCTTGCTTATACACGTAATAAATCGCCAAGATTTAATTAATTATACAATTAATTCCAATTAATTCTGCTTTCAAATTAGGGAATCCTCTTCAAAGCAACTTGGCGAACAAATTATAATCAAGTTCTGAATTAATCTAATAATATTCAATCCTATATCATCAATTCGATTACGCAATTTCTCTTTAGTTCGCATGATTCACATAGGGTTAAAGATAAACCGGGTTTAAACCGGTCGTGTAACCGAACTGAATCAGTTTGGAAGAACCGCGATAACTATCGGTTTTATCACGTGATTCAATATGGTTAGAATACATTTATTAATACTTAGTTATTTGGCCAAAATTTGGCTGTTTAAACATTTTGGCCATTGTTCACGGCCACTGGGTTAACTGATTTCAGCCGCAGTTTCAGCCATAGTTGATAACTTATTTAGAAAAATCTAAATAATAAAGTTTTTATTATTAGTTTTGAAATCAATAAAATAAAAACTTAACAATAAAATTTTTGTTTTGCATGCTATTTATTCTATTATTTATTATAATAATGATATATAAATAAAATAAACTAGGGAAACGGTACGGCCACAGCCACCGTTGTTAAGTCCGGAGCGATAAGCCATATGATTGATGAAAATCCGCAGATTTCGTCGGATTAATCCGGATCATCAAAGCCTGCAGATTTTAATAATTAATGGCTTGTTTAATAGTATGTATGCATGCATGGAATGGTGGTGGCGCAAGGCTAAAATCTTAAATAATCGAGATAAATTATTTAATCCGGACGATAGACTTTATCGGGGATCAAAACACCAGATTCAGGCGTCAAATTTATTTTTCTAACAATAGATTGATTATACACAATAAACAAATAATTATTATTAAATTTCTTAAATAGCAATACAAATTACTTAACATATGATATTATGTAAAGATAAAAAATTATGTAAAGCATATCAAATAATAAAGTACATGAAATTAAATTTTATGTCAAATAAATGTAGCGATTATACATATTGTTTATTAAATTAATTGTTCCTTGCTTGATCTAAATCAGACATATAGATTAATATAGTTAACAGATGAAATGTTTTTCGTTAATAAATAGTGAGTTGAGTGAAATAAAAGAAAAAAAAAAGGAATTTTATACCTTAAACCAAAGTTGTGATACAAAATGAATAATAAAAGTATTAATTCTAAGATGCTTCGAAAGAGAAATAACAAAAAAAGAAAGACAGCTAAACAACGTGAAGCACGCCTTAATCATGAAAGAGAGCAAAAACGTTAAAAGAGAAGCCAAGAAAGTAATAAAATGCGAGAGACTCATCTTACAAAAGCTCGTGAACAAAGAGCTAACAAGAGAACAGCAGAATCGGTTGAGAAATGAGAGTCATGTCATGTCTTAATCGTGAACGTAAACGAAAACGTATAGAATGAAATCATCAACAATTAGAAGAATCAGCCGGATCACTCTCAGCAACTAATATCAACAAGGAGGAACATGAAATTCTCCAATTATTTCGTAAAAATATGGATGAAATTGCGTATAATCTTTATCTCGAATGTAACGAAAGAATACCATCGATGGTAATTGTCAAAGGAATGTGTCGTCGATACTATAATGAAAAAAATACCATAAAAAAGTTTTCCAGTAAGAATAATATGGATCCAGGAGACATACCTGAAGAATTACAAGGCCTTACGGAAATCAAAGAAATGTTAATTGCACAAGTTTTTACGGTAATGTCAGTATATAGACTCCGTGGTGGGCAATATGAATATCATGAAAATGTTATCAATTTCCCACAAGATGTACAAAAAATTACAAAGCGGCTTTCACGTCATCCATCAACATTAGATATTCTTGTCATATGATGTCAATCAACAAATAACCCAACGTAATTTAGAGATTTTAATGTACGACGGAATAAAGTTGCTAGGGCATTAATGTGGCTTAAATAAAACAATAGTTATTATGCGGATATAATTATTGATAACAAAATTATTCAATCCTTACCTGAAGATGACTCTATTGTTAAAATGCTTCCGCAAGTTGAGGATGATAAGATAATTAA